TTGTATTACCTTTAGCTAAACAAAAAAAAAAAAAAAAAAAAAACTAAATGATAGAGTATAAAACATATTCTAGGCCTTAACCATCAGCTTAAACTTTTGGTTGAGATGGTCCTCTAACACTAAACATAAACTAAACTAATTATGATATCATATCACGATTATGTAATAATATTATTTCTTACATAACCTTTTTTTTTTTTTTTTCATCAAATGTGCATGCTTCAATATTGAGGCCTCTGGTTTTATTGATAGCACAAGACCTCCAAAACGACATTTAAGATGGCCTTACTAAGACTTTGCACATCAAGATAAGATTGAGAATTCAAATCTTTAGACTTTACTCTGATCTCAGTATATAAATACTAAGTATAACATAGTTCATTATATTGGGTCTTTATTGATTCTCAATGAGTAGTTTATCGATAATAATAAGATGTGTATTTTTATTTATTTATTTATTTAACTAATGTGACTATGGATATTTACGCTCAAACTAATAATTTATTGACAAATGTGCTTAGTCAAAATAGGAAGAGCATTTAGAATCAGATAGAGTATTACAAAATTATTAGGATAGCACGCAATAAATAATTAACAATTATGTTTGGTTTTATAAAGAACATGATAGGGCTACATGTAAGGAATTAAACTGAAGATAAATCATAAATCAAACATTCATTACACCAATCAACATGTAATTTTTTATCATACATTCTTCAATTGATCCTTACAATAATTTCAATAATAAATTATTGCTTTTATATGCTACATGTATCATTGTTTAAACACCTAATTGCAAACAGCCTTGAAACCAAGTTATAAATTATTAGCTCTTCCAAAATGAAATTAAGTATTAGCTGTGAGACAAGTACAGTGATTATTTGTAGGAATGTAATAATTTAAGAATTAAGTACATCAAAAAGAGAGAAGATCAGATGAATTAGATAATTTAGAACAAACATTATAAGAGTGAGAAGGAACAACCTTCAAAATTATGCAATCTTTGGTGATATTGCATCATCCAATACGTTGGTATTTTTATGTCATGAAAATTAGGAGTGGAAGACCAAACAATAATTAACTAGATTTTCCCATATTTTTTAAGTGAAAAGGCTTATTTAAGATCTAGACATCTCAACCACTCTTATCTCCCACTACTAACCCTCCAATTCATTCATTATATCTCTTAAATAAGTTTACTAAACATAACTAACAACTCATCTCAAATTTTTGCTCAAGATTTATTATTATCCCTTCTCCCTTTAAATTAAAGTTTGACATGGTTATGCACGGACGCATGGTTGTGTAAGGATTATCGTTTCAATTGTATGGTAAGTCAAGATTAGCTAGGGTGAAGATGTTGGAATGGCTCAATCAAGTTAAAGCATCCAAGTGTTCTGGCTTAGTTGGGTCCTTCTAATTTGATTGAGCCGTGCCAATATCAGGTTTTCACTTTATTACATATATCTCTCTCTTCCTCTTTCTTTTATATATCTATATATATCCGTCCTACTTCCCCTTTCCTCTAAGTTACATGTTTTATTTGTGTAGGACATCCTAGCTAGACAATCAAATTAGGTCAGGTTTGAGTTCAGGTCAAGTATTATATATCATGTTAATGTTAAAATTGATAGAACTATGTTCGGAACCTCTCCTTTTGCCCTCGACTTAATTACATAAATGGGTTGTTTTTTTTCAAATCAGGAAAATAATTAAAATATCGCTGTGTTAATCAAATCTTAAAGCTTACATATTTGACCCATATGGTTAGTTCATTTGCAAGAAAATATTGTTAGGTGATTGTTGTCATAAAAAAAAAGTTCATGCACTTTTGGTTCAATTATTAAATAGTTGAATCACTCCTCAAAAAAAAAAAAAAAAAAAAAAATAAATAAATAAATAAATTCTTGCTTTAATAATTTTCTTTTCCATGATAAATTAGTTAAAATTTTATTGGATTGATGTAATGATTTTTTTTTTATACTTCCTCCGTTCCAATATATTTGACGCGTTTAATTTAGACATACATATTAAGGAGAAGAAAGAGAATGAGAGAGAATGATAAAGCAAGTGGGGTAGACTAGTATGCAAAGTATAAAACTTACCCAAAAAGGAAACGTGTCAACTAAAAATAAATTTTCTAAAAAGAAATACGTGTCAACTAAAATAAAACGGAGGTAAGCATGTTTTTTGTAAGTATAAACCAGTATTACTATTAATAGGGGTGAGCATAACAGGGTACCTAGTTCAACTTCCGGGAACCGGAACCAAAACCTGTTGCAATATGTTCCTCAAAATGGGAAGCGGAACCGAAACTTGTTGAACAGGTTCCTGAAAATTAGGAACCAGAACCGGAACCGGAGGTTCTGATTCAGGGTACCCTGTCATTTAATATACTTAATAACTTTTTGTAAATTTTTTTATAAAAACACTGGATGGTCACTAATTTTTAATGTTTACAACTCGCAAATAAAACAAACTAATAGTAGTTGTTTAACAAATTTAATACATATATATTTATAATTGTTATTTATATATATATTATTTAAAAAATAGATTAGAATTGGTGTATAATTTGAATTTAAATGAACTCTTTTATCCAGTTATAGAGTACCCTACAGGTTTCGGTTCTAAAAAATTGAGAACCTGAACCGGGACCTGTTGTAACAGGTTCTCAATTTTACTACCCGAAATCGGAACCTCTTATCCAGATTCCAGTTCCAAAACTTGCAGTTTCAAACAGGTTTCAATTCCAAATTAGGGTACCTTGATTTTTTGCTCATCCCTAATTACTAAGAAGTCATAAAACATGAATGTAACAAATACGTAAAATATAACTAATTGAATCAGATTATTTTAAGAGACGGTGTAGCGACTTGTTATTGTCCTTGGGATGATTTCCATTTGATCCATCTTGTTGAATCTTTATCATATAAATAAATTAAAGAAAAAGGGCATATGCTTGAAATTTTGTAACTGAAGTTAGGTTGTTTTGAGTCTTTTCTATCTACACTATTGCATTTCAACCGTCGAAAATTAAAGCACCTACTCTAGTACTCTTTGTCCTAGAGAATGATCATAAAAAATATAGAGTGCAACTAGGCGCATAGCTGGTATTTGTTTGGGATGCATATAGGAGGGCTAATTGGTATCTTTACTTAATTTTTGTGATTTTTTATTGTTACAGTGGTACTTTTAATGTACCATTATACTTCCCTGCATCAGCCCTTCCCAGCGCCGGTCGGTCGGCGCCCAATTTCCCCACCGTCGGCTGACCCACCCACTCCCTTTCCCCCTTACCCCGTCGTGCCACTATAGCGAAGCTGCCAAACCCTAACCAAAAAACATATTCAACCAATTTATCAATTATGAACTCCTACAAACCAAAAAAAAAAATTCAATCAATTCCTCTCCCTAATCAAAATCGATCAAAAACAATCAAAATTTTAAATCAAACAAAACAATCTTGAATTAAACTTCAAAATCACCAAAAAAAAAAATCAAACAAATTTTTTGGTTAGGGTTTGGCTTCACTGGCTGGGGTGGCACGACGGGGGAAAGGGGAAACGGAGAGGGTGGGTCGGCCAGCGGCGGGGAAGCTAGGCGGTGGCCGACCGATGCTAGGGAGGGTTGGTGTGTGGGAGGGGGAGAGAAGGTGGCTGCGTGGTAGGGAAAGTGGTGCCTGGTTATTTTTTTTTTTTTTTTAATTTGTTAAAAGATAAATCACAATTAATACTTAATTAGAAGTTAATTAAATGTTAAACAATTTTTATCAAAAATTAAAAATCTATAATTATTTATTTTCTTACAAAATTTAATATTTAGACCAATTGCATGACGTCACGTGTACTGAGCTACTAGTTTAACAGATTACAAGTTTTTTGTCTTATTTAAAATTGAGACCCCCAAAGGTTGTAATATTCATGTATAATCCAAAGGTTGTTTATTTAAAAAGAACGGGTTAAAGGTTGTATTACTTTTAGCATTTTCTCTTAATTTTTATTGATACTCAATTGAAATGTGTTATTTGAATGATATACTACAAGGGGGGGGGGGGGGATGAATTGCAGTATATTCCTTAGTGCCTAATTTTCGTGGAATATAAAATTGATTGCTGTTAGGAACTTAGACAATGCAAAGCGGATTTTACGAGGAAATCTTCTAAGGCCCAACTGGAAGTAGAACCTCGACCTTCCAAGGGAGTTCCAACTCAAACACTTCACTATAATAGGCCAAAACAATCCTAGTTACAACCTATGAGAATCAGACCTTTCTCACATGTTTCTGCCTGAACTTGCTACCTAGTTCCTACTCAGAACTCACCAGGAACGTAGCTTTTCCTCACTCAACTTGAATCCCTAATTCAAGTCGCCAGTGGTACCCCCGGAGCACTACTCACTCGGCCTCACCCTTGAAGCTCACACTCTGCAATATCTCAATTACAATAACGAGAATCCTCATGAACTCTCACACCCCAATAAAAAATACACTCAAACCCTTTTCCCATTATAAGATCTCACTGAATAACTCTAAATACAGATATATGAATACAGAGATAAAACTAATATACTGGACACTCGAGATCTATCTGGAACTAAGTGGATGAACTGAAACCAAACCATGACAGGAACTTTAACCAAGTGGGCTGACTTAGTTTCGTGGTCAAAGATGAAATCATTAAGCACGACCTCTTCGCTTCTTTAACCTCAATTTTGAATGAATACATATGAGCATATTTATAGCACATTCGAATGATTCTTTTCATAAAAGATAAGTTTTAACAAATGGTAAGTTTAAAAGATATTTTCTAAAGATAAGTTTTTTGAAAATATATTTTTTTGTTAAGAACAAATTCTGTCAATAATAATAAGATATAATTAACATAAAATTAGATTTTATTCAAAACATATCTTTTTAGTTAAAATACTTTCTAAACAAACTTATCTTTTTCCAAAAGGGATTTATTATAAGATAAATATCTTTATTCAGTAAAACCAAATCCCTAAAAGATATGCACGTACTAGGTAAAGAGATATATATATATATATCATTAAAACTGACTTTTTAAGACGTGCATACTTAGTTCCTATTAGGTTCTGAACTCTGAAAGTCTCTGAGTTCGTGACAGGTCAGTAACTCTAATTTCATTGACAGTCTAGAGTTTCACTTTGGTTCGATAGACTTGTTTCAAACAGACTTTCATGCCTAACATACTTACATGAATCCTAGAGCAATATATTTCTATTTTCTCCGTCTTCATGTTGTTTCTGTAAAACTCTTGTTATGGAATCTTGTAGTCTTGATATATTTTGGAACTCGGGGCAATGTTCCACTTCTGGAACCGCAGGCCAAGTTCCTAACTAGAACTTGATGTCACTCTTGTTCATTCCTTGTTGGAACTCACAGACCAGGTTCCAAACTGGAACTTGGTGTCACTTGCACTCCTGTTAGGGAGTTGTCCATCGTTTACCTGTTAGGGAACACGCTCCGACTCTTGGGAAAAGCCTGCCAAAAGTTCATTTGGATCTCGTTGGAGAATACCTTCAGGTTCCTTCATGGTTTTGGTTCTCGCGTGAGAACCTACTTTGTGTTCATTCATTCTCTCTTGTTCCTCTTTAAGTCTTCTATGTTCCAACCCTTTGACTTCACCTTAGTTAGTTCCCGTCTTCACATAAACACGTAAAGAGAACATTAGATTGAAATTTGTTTGTTATAAATAAACAAACTTCAAGTGAAAGAACTAATTAAACTTAAAGCTACATATGTACTCCTACACATACATGACTCATGTATACATAGGATAATTACCTCATGAAGTTAACTTATGCAAACACTTATTTACATAGTTACCTTCATGTGGTCCTTAGCCATCACTATTCTTATCAACCATAACTCATCACGGTTCTTGATCCTTATGTTGCTTATTATATATTGCTCAAACTCCTTATATATATATATATATATATATATATACACTTGCCATTGCTCGAGTTCCTTGTATCTTGTTCCAAGCATAACTTGTTCTTTTTATGCATAGCTTAACAAACACGCTAGATAGATAATCATCATTAGTTTACAATCATCAAAACCTAATTACTCAACAATTTTTCCCTTTTTAATGATGTCAAACTAATGATGGTTATCACACATTAAATGATAAATCATCGTTCATATATTTCCCCTTAGGTCTACAAGGAAATAACATTAGAATAAGGTAGAAACATACAAAGGAAATTCACATAGTAAGGAACTAGCAATACACATCATTGTCAATATGTATACTATTAAAGACCATAATGCATATATAAGAATTTTACTCTTAAATACTGCATACCATAAGCATCATACATATTCTTCCCCCTTTTGTCATTATCAAAAAGGGTATTGTTCCACACATTTGTTTTATGTAAATTACACACACGTAAAATCATATGTAATACCCCGTATTTTTAGCCATTTACTAATTATTAACTATGGATTTTTCCGAATTACTTTAAATATTAAATTTTAATATTATACATAAATATTTATTTAAGTCAACATGTGATTTACGAAGACAATTTTATAATTATGCTTTATAAAGGATTTAATTATACGAGTCAGGTTAAATTTGTTGTACCCAAAAATCGAATTTTTAACGTTTAGTACTATGCCCGAAATCCCGAGTCAAATACTTGTTTCCGAGTCAAATTAACCAACTACTACCAATCTAATTCTTCCTCCAAAATAAAAATCAAAGTCTCCTTATTTTACACTACTACCCAATTACCACCCATCTACTTATTCTTCCATAGTCAAAGTCAAGAAAAGCTTACTCCCTACATTGATGATGGTGGTTGAAATAGTACCATTTGGAGACTATAAATAGCCATGGAAGTAAGACATTCTTACTCCATCTTCCTTCCTCCAAGCTAACTTCTCTCCCTATTCTCCTTCCTTCCCCATATTTCTTTCATTTGGCCGTGAGCCTTGCCACGAGCACCATCGTACTACAGGCTTGCCGCCCAACCACCACGACACTGCCACCCTGCCACCACCTGCTGCGGAGGCTACCGACCACCAAAGGTGGTCCCTGCTTGTTGCTGCCGCCGTAAGTCCCAAACACACACACACACACACAAAAATCTTCTTAAGCTTTTCATTTCCATCTTAACTTATTACTACTACCATTAGTTTATTCCTACATATACTATTACCTTGTTGCATTTTATGGTACCATATTGAGAGCTTTTACAAGTTTACAACTACTACTATTAATACTACTGGCTAAGTCTACTCCTACATACTTATACGTACTACTACTATTTTCTCTTATTATTATTATTATTATTATTATTATTATTATTATTATTATTATTATTATCATTGCTAACTCTCTTAATGTTAAAAGGTTTCTTGAACTTGAAAGTATAAGTATTAATTTTTCAAGAGTTAAAATAAATTGCTCGTGCACAACTAAGTCAAGGGTCTATATTTTACGTACTCGTGTTTATGGGTTGAAGAGTTTTTGACTAGGAACTTGTGTTTATTGTAGTAGGAATTTTGAGTTCGTAATTAGGAACGTCGTGCTTGTTTGCAAGGATCGAGGTACGTACAAGTGGATAGATCTTTTATAAAGTAATTCTTATATGCAAATGCAATTTACATGCTTAGTGATCTTGAACCATGTTTGAATGATTATGAACTATATTTTGTTGAAGCATGTTTTAATTACTATTCGAAATGTTCAAATGTTTTATAATGTTGTTTATAGTCTTACATCGATCTTCAAGTTGTTTGGAAATTAAAGGAGATTTATTCCCGTGTATGGGATATTGGAAAGTTATTTATCGGATTTATTCATTGAATCTTTGGATTTATAACTCCCACTATGCGGAGATAAAATTGAAGACTATGGGTTGTGTATGATCTAGTCTTTCCCCTTGATAGCACTATGTAAGGAGCTACTAGTTTGGGGGGTGTGCACACTTAGGTGGGAAAATGATTTACGAAAATGAGGATTGAATCCGTATTCTATTCGGAAATATCTTTGGAAAGTTATTCATTTCGAAAATTGATACGTTTTAGTATGAGAATTTCTATTCACAAGTGGTTTGAATAGATTATGATGAGTTAAAGTAGGACTTTTCGAAAGCATGTTTGAGTAATTAAATCTATTTACCTGTCTAACATTTGTATGTACTTAGCAATTTGGCTAATATGTATTTCTGTTTTGTTTTGGTTTGGCCCTACTCATCATTAATGATGAGTAGTTACGTGATGGTGACCGGACAACGTGAATTAAATGTTGCATTGGGGACGATGGGCGGTGATCACCTAGTTCAATTTATGTGGAAACCTAGTATAAGCGTTATAATTAATTCGGAAATGTTTTGAACTACTATTATTATTAATAATAAATGATGTAGTTTTTTCCGCTGCAAGTTTCTGTTAAGCCTTACTGTAGGGAATTTTTCAAACTCAACCTTTTGAGCCCCACTGTAGTTCATGCTTTTAGGCATGGCAGCTCTCCAAGGGAAGGAAGCTAGTGATAAAAGAGTCGCCACCAAGTTTTTAGGAACTTGTAAACCGTTCATAGGTGCGAAGGTTACACCCCATTCACGATCACGGAGATCGCTAACTCCATAGTGGTCCGGAACCATGACTGGCTATTCGGGGATGATAGTACAAATCCAACCTAAAAAAGATTGAACCCGCCCTAAATCAGCCTCTACTTAATTCTTATGATATTCATGTGCGCTTTCCGATCAACATACATACATCAAATTAACCCTAACCTGTTTAATCTACGTTGGTTGATTATTAATGCACAATCAAATCTAATATTGGTGATCACTTGAATTAAAGTCATATTAGCCTAAATCAAATTATTAGTTATCTTATTAGGCGTGATTTCAAGTACAAATTCCCTTTAAACCTGCAAAAAGGGGCGTGATCAAGCAATAACAATAAATCATGAATAATCAAGCAACGTATAATTGACACAACAATCATCATCATAATTATATCATCAAAATATTATCAAAATATCGTTAGTAAGATCCTAGGCATGATACTAAACGGATTAGTAACAAATCCTAGCATGTCACTAATAAAAATCATAGTCAAAGCATTATCCTAAACATGATATTATCAATCAAAACATCTTAACATGATACTAGAATTTAAAATAATATTCTAAACATGATTTCTTACTCCAAAATCAAGGATTAAGTAATTGAATTACTTATGTTGATGTTCTTCCCTTCTTGCTATTAAAATAATAAACACGTTAGTAACTTCAAGAAAAATTAAATAGAATAAATAAATCAAATATGAATTGAAATATAGATTTAGGACCAAACCCTCAGAACTATAAACCTTTCACGTCGAGGTCGAAGGCAACGTTGAGGATGGCTAGGAGTATTCGAATCTCGCAAGGGAGGTATGGTGTTTGATTGGGGAAAGTATCAAGAATGTGTTTAGAATGTGTTTAGGCTAGGCTAAGAACATGAGAAATCAAGAGAGAGAGAGAATATTAGAAAGGGTATTGATGATGATTGTTGGTGATTGAAAATGGGGTGATACGACCTCTATTTACAGGGAAAAAAAGAGAGTCGAAGCATCAGAAAAGAGTCAGAATTCAAATTGGACTAAGACTAGTCACATCACGGCGCGACAGGTTTATCGCGGCGCAACAGGTTTATCGCGGCGCAACAGGTCGATCACGGTGTGATGGTTTTGTCGTTCTGCAATGGTTTTGGAAAGATAATAACCCGTACGAAGTTTGATTTCCAATCGGATTGAGTTAACCAAATATCCGTACGTATTCTATTTTGACCGGGATTAGGATCATAAAAAAAAAGGTGTTTTATTCAATATCAAATTCTTAAATCTTTATCTTTCGAAAACAGGATAAATTAGAACCTTGTAGAGGATTCTAGAAGCTCATAATAAATCCTAACGAATTTAGGATTGAAAACAACCTTCTAGAGGATTCTAGAAGCTTATAATAAAGCCTAATTGGTTTGGGAATGGGATTAAGGTAATTGGACCTTCCACAAGATCATTGGGCCGTAGGTAAGACTTGGTTCGGGCTCGGTTTAGTATTTTGGTCATAACTTATTCATTATAAGTTGGATTTGGGTTTATAATATATCGTTGGAAAGCTCTTTTCTCAAGCCCTATCCAACTAAATAATAATTGAACGAGGACTATGGACCAAACTAATATGGTTTGGACGTTTTTATGAGTTGGACACGAAATGAATGATTTTAAGGACACGAAATAAATGATTTTGGATTAAAACATTTTAGGTAAGGTTAGAATATGGTCAAGGTTTAAGGAAACTTCACAAGACTCTTCAACTCTTTACCGAACTCGTTAATAAAAGACATGAAAGGTACTCATCACTGGGTTTGGTTTTTAGGGAAACACAATCAGGTGTCTACACTTACGTAATCACGTGGCGGTAATATCCCCAAGTTATTCCCTAGAGTTGCGTTATTATTATTATTATAGAGAGTAATTTGGGGGTGTTACATCATATGTCACACCTACCACCATATAATAAGTAAACATATAATGGTTAAAAACTTGTTGTTTCTAAAAGCCTCAAGGTACTCACTTTTCAAGCAAGAATGCTGGTTCCACACTAGATTCCAACTCACAGTCTAAAGGCCCAACTTCAAAACCCTTAATTGAACTTAACAAATTTAAAAATCAAGTAAAGATTAGGGATAAAAGTTAGAAATGGATTGCATGAATAGGCAAATGAAAACACAATCTCAAATGATGAAGAAAGAAGCATATGGAACAAAATGGGTACAGGGAACATGAGGTTCTCTACATTTTTTCTTCACCTCATACTCTTGAACCTTTTGCTAAGTACAACACATATTCATCTTGCTATTTGATAACCAAGTTCCCTTTACTTCAACCACCAACTTTCTTAGAGGAACATTCTGCTCACCGGAACTTGAATAGATTTCAGCTTTATAGTCAAGTTTCTTCAACGTTTATTGTTGTTCCTTTACTACCTTGCCAAGTATATGAGTATTAGACATCAAAACATTCAATATTCTTAATATATAGATATCAAGGAAATTATATATTTGATCACCCTCTTTTCTTCTTTTTTTGTTTTCTATTTTTTTTTTTTTGGGAAAGGGTATCATAACTATCATTACAATGATTTCGCTTTTCTTGCATAAGACATTATAACCAATGAAGATAATACTTACTCATACACCTGAGTTCCACAACTAGATATGAACCATTTTGGTTTCTTGGTTCCTACCTATTTCCCCCGAGTTTCTTTCCTCTCTTAAACATTTTAAGAATGCTTACTTCTTACTTTTTCTTCAACTTCCCCCTCAACATGTAATCACCATTCTTCACGTTTCATCGAACCATAAAAAGATGATGAATAAACTTGGAGTATATGGGAATTAAGAATACAAAGTAGCTAGGAATATATGAAAAGAGAAGGAAATATGGTGGATAGGACTTTGAAGTAATGGAAATATAAAACAATTATAATGCAACACGGACACACAACTAAAAGTTATAGAGTAATGCTGCATTCGAAGATATATGGTGTGGATGCTTGAAAGTTGGCAAAAAGATAGGTTAGTTCCCTCTGAAATTTTAAGCAAGTGAGGTACAAATGGTCTGGGAACTTACCTGTCTTGTTCCATCGAAGTTTTTTCCATTGTTCCTTTGGCAACTTAGGAACTTCGTGTTTGACAGCACCCATAGTTCTATTATGAGACCTCTAATACTCTTAAGCAAGTGAGTATGTCATTTACAATACATAAATTAAGTGTGACACATTAACATTAAGTGTACATACTTCATGCATAGGAACCCTGACTTGACATAACTTAAGGGAAATAATACTTTGTACTCATGTTATGTTTTATCAAGTCTTGTTCCATTAAGCAATTCACAAGAATATGAAAAGCCAAGACAAAAGCATAAGAGAATTAATTCACAAATTCACATATTACATTCATACTAAAAATTTATCAGTTTAACTCATATATAATGACATAATGTGAATAGGAACTCATACCTTATGCCGTCTTTGCCATGTAAGGATATAACTTTGAAACATTAGTTGATTATGATGGCATACACGAGAGTTCTTGAAGTGATAGTTTTGTTCCTATATGATCTCGAATCTAATATGAACTTCCACTTCTTACTCAAGTTCCATTTTAAGTGGTTAATGCATATAAATACATTTTCTCATCATAGATTTAGAAAATACCAATGTATAATGGCTCATTAGTTGTACTAGAAATATTTTCAATATAAGTAAGCACAACTGATAAGTTAGTTCATCTTGAAAACAAAAATTAACAATTTTTAAGGACAATATTCAAGAAGGAACTTGGATAGCATTCTATCCTAGAGTATGTTCCACATAGACATTTATAACAAAAAAGTCATATACAAGGCATGCAAGACATCAATGTGGTACAACTCTAATACGATATAAATAGCAAGATAAATTAATATACAATTACCTTCAAGTCTAGCTACATGAGTAATAAGTTCCTTAAAAACAATACATACCTTTATATTGGTTATTTCCTTTAAGAACCTGGGCTTGTTCCTTTCATGTGCCTCACTCAATAAAAAATTTCCAGAACACCCTTTTTAACCTCTAACCCTTTTAGGTGTTCTAAAATAGATTTAGGATATGACATACTCCTTCCTTTTAAGCTCATTCAGTCCTCTTGCATATCTAACATTCAACCTGCATCTTCAATTGATTCAATATATGCATGGACGACACTATAGTTCCTTATTTAGTTGATATTTTGCTGGTTGGAATAGATATTATCTCACCTTTGGAAGCTCGTTGGAACTTGCTTTCTTAATATTGATTTTATTGAACTTTGTTGCATGATTTGGAATTTGATTCTTATTTATAAGTTCCTCAACAAAAAGTGACATAGCTAGCCCTTGCTGTTATTCTTAGTGACATATATATCTTCATTAGGAACTCAACTAGTTCTACAAGAACTTGCGAGTTCATCTTTTATCTTTAACCTGTTTGATGGGTACAAACATGTAAATCTCAAAAGAAAATATGTTCACTTATTGCACATTAAGCATTATATTGTAAACTCTTTATGTTTCACTATTTTAGGCGTTTATGAGAAAATTGCCTTGTCACTTCTATCATCAAACTTCCCTAACCGGAACTTAGGCTGTCTTGTTAATTAAAGATATATGGTTTCCATGTTGATGATGTAGCAAGAGGTATTGAAAAATATTCCAAAGTTCTTGCAAAGACCATTAGTGTAACACCCCGACCCCAAATCAGGGTTGGGCCTATTGTCACGAAATGCGCATCAAGGGCCAACAACTGTCTTCACAGACCAACTCAAGTTTTTTCGGCGCATTTTATCCTCACTCATGCGCACCCCG